CAAGATAGTATTATGTGAACTAACCACGTAAGCTAAAGGTTTTGAAGTAAACAGCCTTCGCTTTATTACCAGTAAACATTTCTTTTAAGACATAATTTCTTCAGACATTAGCAATTCATTTCATCACCATGACAACATGATTTGTGTATACCTCTAATTATTAGATTTTTGCAAATGAAGCCATTATTTTAAGTGAACTGTTGATAAAGCAGATTTGTTATGTAATTAATACAAATGATTCGTATGTTAAAGTAAACAATCCTTTCTAAAATAAGAAATTTACTATAACTTTGAAAGCCTGTGGGGAAAGCTCAAGGTACTTCACGAATTGGTGACAGATGAAGTCTACATAGAAAACACTTCATTTTAACACACTGTTTGTCAAAATCTGACCATTATTATAGGAGGAATGTTTTTCGCAGCAATTGCCTTCATATAATCAATATACAGGGTGTCCATTGAGTAAAAGCAAAGAATTTTATAGGAATATTGCTATTGAACAAATTAAAATGGAAATGAAAAAAAACACATTTTTACATAAATACCTCGTAAGAGCCATAACCAAAAATTTGCTTTTTTATTTTAAATATATTCCTCAAAAATTATTTAAGATACCTTTCTTTAACTTGGTATACAATTTTATCAACTCATAATGTATAAAAAAAATTATCATTACAAATGTAAAACTAAAAATCTGTATTCTGTAAACTTGGTGTCGTAATTTAATTTTATTTAATGATATCGAAAAAATTCGTTTTAAAAAGATTCAAAAAAAAATATTGACACATATTTACACAGTGTATCCTTAAATACAGGCTAATTACATGAAAAATTATATTTTGCAAAAAGGTAGCTAATTTTATTAAATAAAAAAGTACCGCTTAGTGTATATAGAAATCTATGATAAGCAGTTAAACACCCGGGTATCCCAAAAACAATGAACAATCAAAAGTGAACCGGCACAAACACTTTAATATTAAAGATAAAAAATTAACTCTATAAACAATTTCATCCTTAACATCCTATGTTGTTCCTTGTATGGTTTCACCACCTAACCTCTACGTGTTCTCCGCTATTTGTTCGAATCAAGTCAAGTCAATGTTCCAGCTCTGACCACACATTGTGGTGCATTTCGTTAGATATTTTCTCAAGAGATTCCCTATATTAGATTTAGGTTCATCTATGTTTGAGATCGGTGAGTGATACACTTAATCTTTTACAAACTCCCCGACAAAGAAAATGACACCACAGATTTCGCCTCTATTAACGCCTCTATTATTAAGTGCTTTCAAGTGTACTTTTATATTGAAACTGTATGTTTTGAAAATCCAAACGTTCTAACAACAATGGAACAGCTGATTACTGTTGGAGGGTTATAAAGAATCTTAAAGATGTTAGTTAGCCATAGTTTACTTTTCTACGACTCTAAATAACACGTATATTAAGCTGTAGATTTGATCCATTCTTTTTCGTACACGGAGTATTTTTAAAGTTTCAGAAAATATTTAAGACATATGGCCTAGAAATCTGGTTAACCTAGTTGTCCCATGTATATATATCGTATATGTGCTTATCATTATGACTTTGATGAATGACTACTGTTTCAAGCTCTTTAAAGTACAAAACTTGCACAACTGTTTTACCTTAAACTTGCAGATTTCCTTACTGTCCATACTACTGATTATTAACTCATGTAAACAGATTTAATGTCCTACCTTATTTTTTATAACAAAATAGAAAATAATAAAGCTGTCTAATTTAATTTATTTTACGTGTGAAAGATATAAATTAAACAAGAGGTACAAGTTGCACAAGAATCATCTATATATATAAAATCCAATGTTTGTTTGTTTGTTCTTTATGGACTCCGGAACCACTCAACAGATTGTAATGAAACTTTCAGGCATTACTAAGCATTATTCAAGGATAGTTTGTGTGAGGTTTGGTGCAGATCCGTCAAAAGGGCTCCGCCCAGTGGCTCTGGAGTTTCCCATGTTAACCTTATGAGTACTCATATTTAAATGGAATTAAAGAATCTTAACAGCTGGTTCAACTAAACAATTTGATTCTGTGATGTTGAATAACATTAAAAATTTAATAGGTTCACCAACAGGGCGCAGCACTACCTGGAAGCGAGTGAGCGCAGCGAACGAGCTCCAACCTAAAGGTGAATAGGCCCTAAGCGTAGCAAACGAACTTCATCCAGGACGTGATTGAGCAATACGAACGAGCTCATCTTGAAAATGAACGAGCATTGACATAAAACCACAGGACGACGTCTGTCGGGCCACCTAGTAACGTATAAAATTTGAATCTTAATATCTTTTACCCAACAAATAGTAGGACAGTTGAACCCACTGTTAAACTAAATGGTAAATTAGAAACAAATCAAACACTAGTAAAGTAATTATTACGGTAACTTGTTTCTACAAGCAATGATAACTCGCAAATTAACGCATTCTCGCCTCTCTGGTTTTAATTTAGCTCGTTTATCTTTTCTGTTATCCGAAGTTTGTGTGCTCAAAGAGAGTTATTGTAACTCTTGTTGGCTAAGAAAATGAAGTTTAATTGAAAACATTACACAGAGGTATTTCAAATGCATAATTTAAATTTATTACTGTATTAAATTGCATTTAAAATGCATAATGCAACCCATATCGTGTAAAGATATCAAAGAGATCGTTTCTTTATTATTCTGTAAGGATATGAGTTCCTTATTTCATAGCTTTTATTTCCAAACCCAAGCTGTTTTAGATAAACCAACATCTTTAAAAAGAGTAATTTTTTTTATTTGTTTACCTTTTAAAAGTCAAAAGCTAATCTATATACTATTATGCATTGTACCATGTATACACATGAAATGGTGTCTGATCGTCTGGGTTTTACTCAATGACCTAGAATTACTAAACCGACTGGGCTTTAGTTTTACAAAAATGTAAACTTTATACAGAGGAATCACTTAGTAGGATTTCCGCTTCGTCCCTGACAATGGGATTTTTCACATTCACATTGGCTTGGTTCACAGTTATTAGGACAGGCTTTAAAAATCAATATTGATTGGCCCTTATGGCTACAATAAGAAATACCCCCGCCGCAGCAAACCTGCAAATTTCTATCTGCCTGATTGGATCTACATTAAAATGCCTCCTTAAAAATATCACATTTTATTCCCTATTTAAATATTGTTAAATATATTTAAATATTTAAATTAGTTTAACGAGTACTTAGGTTTGCTGCAACAGGAGGGGGGGGTTTGTTGTAAAATCTTAATAGTGTAGTAAGAAATGAATGTATTTTCCAAATTCGAACAAAATTTGTTCCTAAACAAGCAAACTACAACAGTTGACTTATTCTTTTTAAGAGTAACATGGGAATTTTAAATTTACAATTTTTTGGAATTTTCTTCGCCATTAGGTGCATAATAACGCTTCAATATACTAAATTATTTGTTTTTTTAAGCTCTACAAAATGGTTTGGAAAAAATTTTTTAAATGTTGTGTTTTAAGGGTCAAAAATGGGAAAACCCCATTTTTACCCCATAAAACCCTCCATAAATCCCTGTTTCCATAGTCCGATCATGCTGATTCGCGAACTCGTTCGAATAGATGTAGGTTTACACCTTTGTACCAGATTTCGTCAAAATCGGATCATTTTTGACGGAGTTATCGTGCTTACGGACACACATATATATATATAAATATATAAATAGCGTATATATATATATATATGAATTCGAACATATGGCGTTTTTGACCTCTAGGGACCTCAAAACGAAAAAGTAAATTGGTCCCGGGTCCGGGTATTACCATGAGTACTACGGTAGTAGCTTATTCCCTCTATCGATGGTTATAAGCACAATAGTTGTATGTCCATTTTGGTAAACTTTCGGAAACCGCAAAAACAAAGTTTGTATTATGGGGGAAACTTAAACTAAAACTGTTAAATGTTTGAAATAAATTAATTTTATTGGCCCCATTTATTAAATATGCATCTACATAAATAGTTTTATCTTTATTCAAGCCACATTTTTACAAATAATTTGTAAATCAAACCATGTTGGACATACTATATGTGTGCACTTCTGAACGCGCAGATTTATGGACATGCTACGAGTGTGCAATACAAACTGCCCCTAGATGGTTTTAGGAAGGAATGAAAAATTTAAACAACTGTTATCATGGGCGCCCCCTGGCTAAAAAAAAATAGAAATAAATTTAATACACATAATGTTCTGTGATCACTTGGGTTTTAAGGAATTTATAAAAGTATGTTCAAAATGGTCATGTCTAAAAAATGTTTTAAATTGATGTTTAAATCAAATAAGAAGTTGACTCACAGATGTAAAAATCTTTTATACTTTGTATACTTTCATACTTTAACAAAACTATTCAGAAAACAAAACATAAACTTTCTTGGCTGTTATCTAGGCTTTATTCAACTATATTTTTTTCTTCTTTATAATTGTTTGGTTAATTGTTAATGTTGGCATAAAAAACGACGACTCCCTCAGGTGACCGTCCTTGATGCACAATGTACTATTTTGTTTTGGTTGGTTTTATGTATTACAAAATAGCGTAAAAATATGTTTTAAAACACTATATTTTGAGATTTTTTCCTGGGGAAGGCCCCGAACCCCTGGAGGTTCGTTAGACCTATATATTGCACCCCCTTGTTCCAAATTCTGCGGACGCCCATGACTGTTATTGTCTTACATTGTAGACTACTTTTATTTTTAACATTTTAAAAATAAAAATTACTTGGCCTACCAGCTATTAGAAACTTAAACACAAATAGGCCTAAACGAAACATTAAACAAAGCACGAAATAAATCAGGTAGTGCCTTTTGTAAAATGGTACCTATACAGTACAAACTGTATTTTGTTGAGTCAGTCTTTATGGGGTTTATTCAACAGGGCTGTCCTTTAGACACATTACTTTATTTTCTAATGAAGTTTTAATTTCTTTTATTTTCTCTGGTTTTTTTAGCCTCCTTGGTTTCCTTAAACTCTCTTTACATTACTTCTTTTTCTGGTTTCTTGCCCTATAACATCTCTTCTACTGCGTCTTCCTTCTTTCTTTTTGGTAACTTCAGTGAGAGACTTGTTTCCTTCTTCTTCCTCTATGACGTAAAGTACAATATCTCTTGCCGATGCGGAACTAGGGATTTCAGTGACAAAATGCGTGAATGCTTCTGGAATTACACCCGCTTTAAGTAGGTACATCAAATCCTTTTTCTTGGTGCTGGAAACCGGAATAGGCTCAGTTTACTTTGGACTGAGAATTTGTTGTTCCAAGACAAATGGCGTCTCGGAATCCTTTCGTACATCAAGAGTCAAAAACTCTATTTCCTTGTTAAGTTCGTACTTGTATAGCATTTCATAGGGGTTTGCTTTTTAAAACCCAAACCACTTTACCTTTAGCCAATTCACGGATTCTTTTTTGGTGTTATGTTCTGTTGTGCACAGATGCTGTATGTCCTAAACCAAACATAATTGTAAAATAAAATGTGGACATACTATAAGAGTGCACTTGAGATCATCAGATTTTTGGACATACTACAAGATGAAAAACAAATACCAGAGATAGTAGGCCTTGTATTTTCATGCACAATCATTGCAAGTCCAAAGATACTATATCTGTGCTCTAAAGGAGTTTTTCTCTGTTCAGCTGGTACTTCAATCATTGGACATGCTACAAGTGTGCAGGATAAAATTACATCATACCAAAGTGAACACTTTTATTTTGAGAATTTATATTAATTTTTCCTATTGTAATATGGACATACAATATGTGTGATCTGAAAGATGAAGACTACAGCTTTCCAAATATATAAAAATGTCAAAAGTGAAAAAAATTGGACATACAATGTTTGTGCATATAACCATCGCTATGGGAAATTCGCTAAAACTCACAATGTTTACAATTTGCTTTGACTCAATGAAAAACATTATAACTAGCAAATGCATTATATCTTCCAATGCTACTCTACCCGGTTAAATCACATAAAATACTCCATAATATTTTGCAGAACTATGAAGCAGTTTAGTTAGTAAAAAATTATGGAAATTGATTAGACGAAATAAGTAAAATTTTGTCTGCATTAACTTAGGCTTATAACTTATAACTTATAATTAATCTTACGCGAGTTATTTTACTGAAAGATATCTGCAATTATCCTGTTAAACTTATACGTTAACCCCATATAAAGGGCGGGTAATCTGTTATTTTACAATAGGTTACATATACAGGGAGTCACAAAAAGCCCAGAGGCCCATACAAGACCCGATTTACATACCAAAATAGGTCGAACAATTCTAATAACATATTTTAGATTTCGGCTTAGTTTAGGCAGATTACACATAGAAGGTTAAATATTTAGACACTAGAAGGTCATAAGTGATATTTTTATGAATCTTGATTAATTAGAATCTTTGTTATAATGTAACATAACAAACAGAGGAACAACATCAACATAACATCAACATCAACATCAACATAACAAACAAGAGGGGTTGGGACTCCAACCCAACCCCTCTCCCAACTATCCTATCATGGCCTTAGAATCCTACTAAATCCCATCTATTATCTGACAAAAAAACAAAATAACAAAAACAAAACCAAAATTAAATTGACCACCAAACTAAAACAATATCCTCAACAATTCCAAGTCAATACTAACACAAACTCACCAAACTCTAATGAAAACCACAGAATCGTCAAATAAATTAGTGCACAACGAGGCTGCATATAATATAAGCCTGCTTTCAAGCAAATAAGATAAAAAAAAAATAATGTAACATGTTATAAAAATATTATACACCATTTATTTCACACTTTAAAACGCCTTTTGAGGCTTTTAGAGTCCAATTTTGTGAATACAAGTACAAAGCTAAATAGCAAGTCATTAAATTTAAAGAAACTTAAAATTTAAATTCATTTACACTTTTCATGCAAACAATTGATTTAAAAATTATCCAATTTGGCTACATTGATAATTAAAATTTAAAACACTTTAACCTCCAGTCAACGAATTCATTTTTGACAGTATTATAGATAAGAATATTTTAGTACCAATGAAAAATACCTGATGCTTAATGTGAAATATATTTTTTGTGTTTCAATAGTTGGTAGGAAAAATTTAATCAAATACATACTTGCGTACCATTAAGATCTATTTAACTATGTATGTAAAGACAACTACAATTCTTAGTCATTTTCAAATTTTCTCGGAAACACATAGCTATTTACTTTTCTTGATTTTCTTTTAAACATGTATGTATGTTTGTATCTGCAGGGAAATAAACCTTAAAACAAGGTGAGGAACATCCAAAGCTTGGTAATAAACACTATTCACAATTTTACGACCAATGGACTTGAGCCAATTAAGCTTTCAAAAGGCCGATCAGTAGGTTACATGATTCTAATCACTGTAACTTCAAGCGAAACTGGGCGGAAAACTTGCCGTTGCGGCCAGCAACAACAGCTGTAATGTTGGTGTAAACTCTTGTAGTCTACATTGTAAATTGGGAGGGTGCAATTCTCGGGAATGAGCTGGGGAAATTAGAGATCCCTTGGACTACAACCCAAGAAAAACACTCTTGGTTGATAATGGGATATTCACTCAAATAGTTGTCAGTGAACACATAGTGTACTTAACCAGTTTTATGTCGAAAAAAAAAAACGATTAAATAAAATATCGCGGTCTTGAATGGTTTCTATTATGAAGTTATCTTTGGGATATACTTAGATTATTTTTATAACTTGTAGTTGGTAGCCTATGTGTTCTTATGCGTATAGTTATATTTTTTGTTTTGGATTTTCTTTCATGAAACTAATGATAAAAATAAAAACTAAATAACTAGCAAAAGATTATTTTCAATACTTCTCTGTTGTGTGTGTTCTTAAACGTATATTCATATTTTTATTTTACATTTTTTTCATGAAACTGGACGTCTACAACTGGCAATGCAGTTTTATTGATCGAATCATAATTATGTAATCGAGACCAAAATTGTGTATTTTTTCAAATAATTTAATCTGAATTGGGACTGGGTCGACTCATCTTGAAGTTTCACGTGGGTCAATTTCGGGATCTTTGCTATATAAATCAAATGGTCTTTAGCTTTCAAAGTGATAACATGTTCTTACTTTTATGTACATGTATATTTAAAAATTTAAAGCCACAAAGTATTCACAGGATTAGGCTATACAGGGTGAATAAAAAGTCAAGACCCCCCCCCCCTCTAATATTTTTCCAAGTAAATATACAGAGATATCCTTTTGGTGGTCGTGCAATCTTAGCAGGACGTTTCATTTTATGATTTTGAAATTTTGGAGTATCCCCCCCAAAAAGGGGGATTTGGGGGGCAACTAAAAATTGTTCAATGTAAACCCCCATCAAGTGACACCTCATTTTGAAGTGTTTACAAAAACTTAAAGAATGGTGAAAACTAGAGGTCGCTATCTCTTCTCTATCCAAAATGGTAGCCAATATTACCATTACGAACCAATTTTACCATTGATTTTCTACAACATTTGACGGGGTACCATTTTGGATACAGAAGAGATAGCGACCTCTAGTTTTCACAATTTTTTAAGTTTTTGTAAACACTTCAAAATGAGGTGTCAGTTGAAGGGGGTTTACATTTAAAATATTTGAGTTACTCCCCAAATCCCCCCTTTTGGGGGTCACTCAAAAGTTTCAAAATCATAAAATGAAATTTCCTGCTAAGATTGCACGACCACCGAAAGGATATCTCTGTATATTTAATGGGAAAAATATTAAAGGGGGGGGGGGTCTTGCCTTTTTATTCACCCTGTATAAGGCTATATTATGAAGTTAATACTGTAAGGTTGGTGGTAAAACTAGTGTCAAATAATATCAATCGCAAATAAGATGTTTTTGAAAGTACATTTCCAAGGTTATAAATTAATAATGCATCGACTTGTGGAGTATATTTTCCTAACGTAATTATTTTTTTACACCCTATAATCTTAAGATATTATGAGTTTTATTATGTTTAGTTTGCAGTTCTTGAATATGTTTTACGATAAGACCAGACATTTTCGTTTAGTTATAAAATGCACCAATAACATCACTTATCACTTTCTCGTAACGTTATCGTCAGTCCGAGGGGGGACATTAGGCTCCCAGTGGCAAAACCCGGTATCATCCATATTGATTTGACCTCCAATACGGTGGGTTGGGTATTTATAATTATTTTTCTTGATTCAAACACAATTGAAGCACAACATTATTAAAAATCAATAGATATTACCTAATATGATTAACCTAAGCAACAATTCCAAAATAAAGCTATAGTGTAAAATTTAAGTTAATAACAGTATTTTGCTCATGCTTAACATACATTGCTTATATTAAATCTACGTTTGGATTTGGAATTTATTTATCGGTCATTCATATATAAGGAGATATGAATAGATTAAGTAAGGGTGTATCAAGTGATATTGGTCTGGCTAAGAATAGGTTAATTGCAATATCAAACTTATATTTTTAGCTACTCTCATGCCAAACCCCAAAGGTTTGGTTGAAACTTGATAGGTGCCACATAGTAATGAACCACCATGTTAAAACATAATTGATAATAAATAGTTTATTTTATTTACTTTCCGTAAATTTTATAACACGTACAACGGTGGTCAAGAAGTTATTTAATAAATAGTGTATGATTATATCTTTAATAATATTGGAATTTTAAATTCAAAATTATGTTTAGCAATAGATATCTTTATTTAAATTTTCACTGTTTTACATTGTTTTTAAGCATCAGGAAGTCCTATTATAAGCGATGCTTTTCATATTGATTGCTTTACTTATTTATTTATAATGAAATCTTCACAAAACTGTAATTTTTTTATTACTTAATTTTTATTAAATTAATAAATCCACCACCTTAGTTTGTAACGCTAGTTTGTACGCTTAGTTTAAACCTTGTTGTAGAATTTCCAGACAAGATTCCTTTGATCACGCCCTGCTTTAGTTAAGCAAACACTCCAACAAAACAAGTTGATTAGTAGGTTTTGATTAGCAAATCAACATCTTTGAGGATTACATTTACTTTTTTTGGTGATACAAAAACATTACTTGACTTTTAGAAGACATAAGCTCCGATGATACAGAGAACTGATTTTGTTGTTATGGTGAACGTAAAAAGCTCACCACTTCAATCTGGTATCATCACTATAATATCTACGTTATTTGTAGCCTATCGGTATTTCAG